CAAAAAGAGCTTCGGGACAGCACTCAGGCCCTGAGTTCATGTTGTATGATAGACAAAAAAAAAAGGTAAATAGATTTTGTTAACACACACACACACACACACACACACACACACACACAAACTAGCCAGATGTGATGGCTCAAGCTTTTAATCTTATCTACCTTGAGAAGCATCAAAGTAACATGCCAGCCCATGCAAAAATGTTCGTGAGACTCCATCTCAACCAGAACTTATGTCCAGTGGTATACATTTGTAACACCAGTGACATACTAATAACAAATATGTCGATCATAGGTCAGGCCTGCTGGCACATGAAACAAGACCCTATTTCAAAAATAACCAATGAGACAGTGATTGGCTGAAGTGGTAGATTACCTATTTAGCAAGTGCAAGGCCCTGAATTCAATCACTAATACTGCCCAAAATCAAAACCAAATCAAAGTAAAACAAACCAAAGCACTCATATTAATTTTAAAATAGATCTAGATTATTTAGTAGTCACAGATGAATAAGCTTGATGTTTAATTCTGTTAAACTTTAGCATTCAATTAAAACCACTACTTTTACCTCTGTATTTTTTTATACTAGTGATTATTTATCTGCTCTTGGCAGAATCTTCTTTCCATAAAGAATCAGAATTATCGCATCAGGTATGGGCATTTCATTGTCAGTTTTCTGCTTCAGAGTTGGTTATATAGATTAGAACTGAAACAAGGTGCTAATTGGTGAAACTACATCTTGATGCTTAAGGCAAGTGAAATTTTCAATAAGGATTAAATTCTGACATTTGTTTTCCTGTAGTTTATTAATGCCTGGTTTGTCCATATTAGTATTAGTTTTATCAAGTGGTAAATTTTAAGTAAAAATTTGTGAGTTTAGAGCATTATGTATTATTCCAAATTAATCTTTCAGGAATGAAGCCTAGATATATATTTTTCTTCATTTGGGGTAAGCCAAGTTTTGTAGAAAATAATCGAGGCAGAGGATACCAAATTTCTGGAATCACCATACACATACTTGTATCTATCAATAAATCCAGTGCATCAGTGAGAATGATGGAAAAGAAAGGGAAAAAATGAATGAAAACACACTTTCCCCCCACTAAATTCAGATTGACAGTGCAAATTGTCCCGAAATCACTGGGTAATTAGGCAACCCTTGGTGTGGCCCTGAAGCGACAATCTTGCTACTACATAATTAATAATGTTCTCTTCAAAATATGAGCAATAATCTCTTGATTGAATGCTCCAGTTTCATTGCGTTGCTAAATAAAATGAAACAATAATTAGAACAATGTGCAAGGTAAGGAAGGTCTATATCATGATGCGCTTGTATGTAGGGAAGCAGAAGAATTAATCAAATGAAATGTGAAATTATGGATAATTGCAGGCATATGGAGATGATCAGCTTGCTTGCAATCAGAACTTTTTAAAGCAACAAGACATGTGCTTTTCTTCCCTTGCCTAAGCCGTTTAAGATTTCAGTTGTAACTGAAT